CAGTAGTAGAGACCTGTGCCCCCAGCAATTTTTGGATGATTAACATTTGCACTAGGCCAACTAAACATGGGCATAGTAACAATGTTTTTTATACTACATTTATCCATTTTAAATACACTAACCTCACTCATTTGTAACAACTAAGGCAAAAATGTAATTAATTCAGAAAATCTTTTCAGGACCCCACCTTGATGTTTCAGGACCCCACTTTGGGTCCCGACCCCAACTTTGGGAAATACTGACCTAGAGTATCCAGACGTTTTATTCACTTAAGAGTAGTGATGCTTCATAGTAATAATACTACTCAAGTAAAAGTAAATAGTATGATTAAATAACACTACTTCAAAAATAGCATTTTTTTCCCTAAAAGTTACTTAAAATGTAACTGAATAAAAAAAACAGGTACTATGAGTTCCAAGACACTTGGACAACAAAAACAGTGATGAATTTCACTCTTGTTGGTTTGATTTAGAACTGATTTTGTTCTTGGTCATTTCTGTGCAATAAAACTCCATATATATAGATATATCTACATAAAAACATTACAAATGTCTCTATCCCATATTATTACGGGAGTACCGGAACTTATTTTTTTTCCACTTAAAGCACTGTAAAACTACAACTCATTAACTATAATAATTCAGTTCAAAATGAGTGCCACAGCCAAGCAAACTCAGTCAAAACAAAAAAAACTCAGTCAAAACAAAAAGGAGTATAACTCAGTCAGTTTTGCAGGAATTGTGCTGCAGTTTGATGTGGTAGCTTCATTGTCAACACATACCCTRAGTGTGACATCTATTGCTTGAAATTGTGCATTACATCATTTTTGAGGTTTGACCAAAACTGCTACAAATCCACCCTTTCCCAACAAAACTCTGGCAAGAAAAGGATGCGGGTGAAATGCATTCCCTCAAGGAATTGTTTGGTCTTTCATCTGTAAAATGTTGTTCCCTGATCCCTCTGCAGCCTCGGCCTCATCTCCCCGCGCCGCCTCAGACCTGGAGCAGGCTCGACCTCAGACCAGCGGGGAGGAGGAGCTGCAACTTCAGCTGGCCTTAGCCATGAGCAGGGAGGAGAGTCAGAAGGTGACAAACACACACACACACACACACACACAC